TAGAATTGAGAGAATTTTCTGTTCAAAATCATTCCCAAGCCAGCAACTGGCGACCACCCTTCTGAAAAGCTGTTGACTCCTGCTGTTCTCTTTACCCCTTACCTAGTCATTTTATTTATCACACACAAAGTTTCCTTAAAGACTGCAAAAGGAAAAACTAATCTATTCTGTTAAAAATCAGAAGACAGTTATAGTAGAAGAAAGGGGGAACTGGAAAAGGGCATAAATGGGGATTCAGGGTGCTGATATTGCTCTGTTTGTTGATCCGGAAGGTTGTTACATGGTTACACTTTTGAACATTCCTGAGTTGTACACTTAAGTACAATCTTCTGTATGTTATACTTAAAAAGGCTGCTGTTTCTTTATTGCTTTTTTTTTTTTCTGGAAAAAAAGAAGCCAATAACAAATACTAACAGCTAAATTCTATTAACAAAAAGTACCAATGTAATTTATTTAATCTCTCCTGGGACAATCAGGTTAAATCTAATGAGCAGTACTGTATTCATATGCAGAATTGCAGTGAGACAACCAACTCAGAGACGTTGGCCACCTTTTGGTCTCACTTCATTCCCCAATTTTGTCATCCCATGGCTTTCTTCACCCACATAATCTCACACAATCTCTTGCCACAAGGGGAAAATGGCTAATAAAGTAATTTTGTTGGCTTTTTCTCTCTAATTTAGCAAACTTTAGTAGGATATTATAGTTGGCTACTCCACCCCTCTACACCCACCACTCTCAAAAAAAANAAAAAAAAGAAACTGTGTAACAGCAAACATCTTTGGAACAGTTTCTCAAAAATTGCTTGTAGCCAGTCACTTCCTCAAATTCATAAAAAGTTTACTGCATTCGTAACATACTTCATAATGATAAAACAGACTTCTAACAAAACTAGTTTCTGGTGGCAACCTCACATCTGCAGTTTGGGAAAAGGGCTGAAAAAGGAGTATGTTGTTTCTGCTCAAAAGAACTAGTGATCCCCAATCCCTGAACAGAAAATAGACACAGAAAATGTTCATATGTAAAGCCTGTTAAATAAAAATTATAGGACACTATTGTTTTTAACCTCCTGCACTAGGCCTGGACCCTGAAGTAGACATGTGGCTCCAAACACCCTCCTTTTCTCAGAGAAACAACCCTCCCACCATACACACACATGCACATATGGAGCCCTGGAAGCCATATTTCTACAATATGATGAGGCATCTGTACCCATCATTGGACTTGAGGTATATACCTGACTCAAGTTCA